CTAAATTATATTGCAATTCAATTATACTATAAGTTAATCACACGCCGTGATTTAATCACATTACAATTCCATTAGACTGTAATTACATTAAGTTATAATTTAATTGTACTATAACTAAATTATATTGAAATTCAATTACATTATATATTAATTACACCGTTATTTAATCACATTATAATTCAATTACATTATTATTATTATTCAATCGCATCATAATTCGATTACATCATCACATTCAATTACATTGTAATTCGTAATTCAGATCACCATTCAATTAAATTACAATGTAATTAGTAATCGAAATTGGAGTACCATTACAAAATACAAAGTAATTAAATTACATTAATTACGAATCGCGATGTAATTGAATTAAAATTGCGGGTTGAGAAGTAATAAATTAATGGGTAATAAGATGTTGAAAAAAACATGTGAAGGTTTCATATAGAAGGGTTTTTTTATAATGATTTATAAGTTCATAATGTCTGAACAGAAATAACCCAAAATCGTCGATAATATTTTCGGCATATGACGAGTTTGAATATATTGGCCAACAAGAATGACAATTGTGACAGAACGAATTCGCAGAAGAACCACGGATTATTCATTGGAGCATCTGATTGGCAGCGCGAGAACATTGCCGAGATTGTGAACTATGGCTAATAAATTCTGCCTAGTCGTTTGAAAATAGTTTGGAGCATATTAACCCCTTAATGCACAGTTTATTTGAAAAAGGCCGGCCAAAAAATATCAATTTTTTTTAATGTAAAAAAACACAATTTAGAACGTTGTCTTGGCAAGAAAATTACGAAAATACAAAAATATTAAATATTTATACAATTGGTATAATTTCTAATTTTCAGAATATTACTGTTATTATTATTATTATTATTATTATTATTATTATTATTATTATTATATTTTATTTTACATTATATTTTAGTAAAATATATATTGAAAAATGAGCGAATCAGAATCTGAATATGAATACGCTGTCGGAAAGCGGCTCACAAGGAAGAGATAAGTCGTAAGTGATAAGTAGAAAAAGGATATATTATATACTTGAATAAATAAGTGTTATAGCTTACAATCCCATGTAAATATCAATAAAACGATTGGTTTTTTTTGCTTTCACATTCTTATTTTCAATTCTCGATTGCATTCGAGTGTGAAGAATTATAGCAACATAAAGTACAACGCCGCTCGAATTATCTCGGGTGTGCACAGTTTGGCCAGTTTAGCGCGCTCGAGTTAACTCGAGCGTGCACGTTAAGGGGTTAAGTTATTTTTACTGCCCGGATATATTCGAATCTGAACATTTTAGCGACATAAGTTGCGACGCCGACCGTATATATACGGGTCTGCACATTTTGGCCGGTTTTGCACGCCCGTGTTAATACGTTTCTGCGCGTTAAAGGGTTAAATGCTAGTGCAACGTCTTATGTACACTGCCAAGGCTAGTTTCGTAGCAGAAACCTGCCCAGCCACCGATCTGTCCTTATGCGTGTCAGGCAAGCGTTAACCGATCTCCTTTTTCAGCGACCTAGAGCGAGAAATAATTGCGAGGAGGATGGATACAAGGATGCTGCTCCAATTCCAGGAACATCTAGATGCAGAATAGAGCGAGCCGCGTTTTATGACACGCAAGAATTCGTGCCTCGCTTCGGACGTCAGACCGTACGAGTATCACGGCTGGTTTTCCTGGTGCGTCACTCACGAAACCATTCAACGGAGAATCCTATGCGTTAGTCACCACATCGAATTCACTGTCGTGCTCTACCGTCCGTACTTTTTCCTCATCTGATACGCTGCATCATTATCCTCAATTTCCGAGATTTGGATCGCACAATGACACACGTGTCGTTCCACCCGTGATAAGAGGAGAAGTCGCAGGCGACTATCGAATGATAAAGAATATTTTTTTGAAACCGAAATAGTCCTACCATAAAGTAAATTCTCTAATCTTGACATAAGCCCTTCGAATCCTATAATTCTTCTGGAAACTAGCGATCGAGATTTTTTGACTTTTCAACGTGATTTCGAGCGCTTCTCTAAAATGCAACGGACCTATAGTAAAGTACGTTTTCCTAGCTTTAATTTAAGCTCCCGAAACTTAAACTATTCCGACAGGAATACGACTTTAAATCGACTTGAATCTTCCCTTTAATATCGAGTCATTTTGCTCCGAATAAGCCATCAGAACTTTGCGATTTCTCAATGTGAATTTGAAATGTCTATTCAACTAAAGTGAAGCTATTATATAGTGCGTTCTGCCAGCTTTCATTTGAACCCTCAAAAGTGGAAATATCTTAACGAGAAGCATTATTAATCAATTCGTAGGAACCCCTAAAAATATCCTTTTTCACCAAACCATTGTTCAGAATTAACAAATTTTACGCAACGTATCTATTATTTTCAATTTTTTAAAAGCACTGCAATTCCATTTGATTTCAGCGGTTTAAACATTGCAGTCGATACTTCAAAGTTCACATTTTTTAACTGTAATATAATTCTTTGATTAAAACAATTCAATTAATTAATTTAAGCAAAATCAAAGCTGAAAGTATTAAATAGTCTATTAAAACTTGGAGATTCCTTACGTGATACAAGACTTTCCGAAGACATATTCGCGTTCAGATTCACAGAAATCGTTAACGTGGCCACAGCCGCTACATATATGTACAGTAGAACCTCGAAATCTTTCTCGAACTTTATTATACCGATTTTTGATTATTCCATGTACGACCTATCATCCTATCCTATCGTATCAATTATCAATCGAAAATAAAAAGAAATTTAACGATCAATTCTGAATTCGGATAATCGAAGTTCTACTGTACCGTAAACCAGTTTATCCGATGAGATCAGCCGCTGAAAATTTCCGAAACGATTCGGTTGCAGTAACGAATGGGTCCCCGAAGTAAACAGGATTGTTTCAAAACGCATTATGATCAATGGGACAAGCGAAGCGTCTCGACCACGGAAAGTTTCAGCGTCCAGCGGTCCGTGTTGGGTCTCGTTGACCCAGAATCTCTCATGGAACCTAGTCAAACAACTAGTTCTCCGACTGTCGAGCCGCGATCTGAAACGCGCACGATGACCGATCGGTACGATACGATACGATACGATACAACACGATACGATACGATACGATACGAAACGAAACAAAGCAACGGGACCGTGCAATTTACGATGATTCAACCGGCGTCTGACAGGGGCCGCGGCCGCGAGAAGTGAATGACTTAGAATTAACGTCCGCGGAGCGCGTAGCCCACGCATGAAAGACGCTGACTTTCACCTATTGAGTTCCGCCGGACGACCCACAGGATTTCTTTCGCCGCGCATTCCTAAACGATATCGAAACACCCCGCTCTTTTCTTATGTAATCGATCCGAACGCGACCCTGGAGACTGTTGCTTCAGTCACGATAAATTCTTCGATCCCGTGCTAATAGAAACACTTGCATGGTCTGCGGCCGCTGGGAATTTCGACGATAGTAGCATCGACCTCGGAAAATCGATTTTAATTTCCTCGATTAATGGCAGCGCAGGCTGAGATTGTGTTCTTAATGTTTCAAACAGAAATTACAAGCAATTGTGCGGATACGTTGTGGAAAATGCACAATAAAGAGACAGCAACATGTTCGGCGACGACTGTGGATTTTCGCGATTGGAGGACTCGAAAAGGCAATTTTAGTGCTACGATCGTGAATTATTCGCTGTTGCATCGTCCCCAAGAAAAGAAACAGCATCTTCTATGGTTGAAGAAAATATTGCAAATTATTTTATGAAATTAACTTTTTTAGTATTGTCCGCATCTAGGTACAGCAAATTCTCCTCAATTATGTCCATCAGCTTGTAAACAAAAATTGACAATTTGGGACCAGGGAATATGATTATTCGTGCTTCGTGGCTTGTTTTTATATAGTTGTTAGACTCGAACAACCATATCTCCTCTTCCCAAATTGTCTTTGAGAGACAGAGAAGTTACTGTACTTTGTACTGCCCATACCTATTTGTTCCCCTTTAATTTATATAAAAAGATATACCTACATCCGGATGTAATAAATATGTGCATCGTCCGTCTTGCGTAATGTACCATATACATATTTTAGATTGCAGTAGTAACGCTACCGTATTTATTGCCTTTATTGCATTTGTTATAAATCGAATAATAATAATAATAATAATGATAATAATAATAATAATGATAATAATGATAATAATGATAATGATAATGACAATGACAATGACAATGACAATGACCATGACAATGACAATGACAATGACAATGACAATGACAATGACAATGACAACGACAATGATAATAATAATGATAATAATGATAATAATGATAATAATGATAATAATGATAATAATGATAATAATGATAATAATGATAATAATGATAATAATGATAATAATGATAATAATGATAATAATGATAATAATGATAATAATGATAATAATGATAATAATGATAATAATGATAATAATGATAATAATGATAATAATGATAATAATGATAATAATGATAATAATGATAATAATGATAATAATGATAATAATGATAATAATGATAATAATGATAATAATGATAATAATGATAATAATGATAATAATGATAATAATGATAATAATGATAATAATGATAATAATGATAATAATGATAATAATGATAATAATGATAATAATGATAATAATGATAATAATGATAATAATGATAATAATGATAATAATGATAATAATGATAATAATGATAATAATGATAATAATGATAATAATGATAATAATGATAATAATGATAATAATGATAAT